ACCAGAGTAAACGATATTGTTTTTAAATTAGGATCCTAAGTCTATGTTAATGAAGTTACTCCTGTGATCTATTCTAAACAATCTATTACAATGCATGTAGGATCATAAAAAATCAGTATTATTCAATGTGCAAACATTGATCAGGAAAAGAAAATGAATTAACAATTGACTTTTCTAAGTTATTTGGATTTGTGTGTGGTGGGGACTAGGTTGAAGTAGTGTTCTTAAGAATGTACTTGTGGAATGGTAAAGGAAAGGTGTGTAAAACACCTCAGTTGTCCGGAAACAACATGGCAGATAGTCAATAATCAGGCTTTTTAGGGGCAAAGGATGACATTTGAAAGGACAGTGGGGCATACATTCCATAGACCAAGTACTACTCCTGCAGTTCAATGAGTCTACATTTTCTTAATCCTGAAAGACACTTACAGAGTTGCTTTAGACCTCTGAGTCCCAAGGGCAAGATGGAACTTAACTCTGCAGATCTATAATGTGACATGCAATTAATGCTCTATGAGCCATTTGCCAGAAAAGAGTTCAGTGGTCATCAGTTAAAACACTGTGATAATTTCAATTACTAGCTAATTTCTAGATTTGAGAATATATTTTTTTCAGTATGATTATATTCCTTTCTGAGTCCTCGGATGAGCTGAAAGGAAGCATCTGTGGCTCTAATTCAACAGGAGCATTCTACTACAGGAAAACAAGCCAAAAATAAGTAGAGAATGATGTAAGAGGAAAGTTTGATTGTTCAGGAGTGTTGCCTGGAAACATTTTCAAAATGGATATACTGGCAGCTTAGTGATGTCTGCCGTGATTATCTATGATAGCTTTTATTACATTCCTTCATCAGGAAGGAATAACTGGGGTCACGTTTTTAATTAAAGCAATGAAGTTTTAAAGAGATTTTTTTTCAAAGTAACTAAACAAAAGAAAATCATAAAGGCAGGCTATTTCATCTTGATCTGCTGGCCCCAAAGCCACACCAGTCTGTCTGAACAGCAAGCAGGAAGTCTAAAAGTCAGGTCCAGCTCCTGGGCTCAGACAAAACTTACCAGAAGTGGGGAGCTAGGACAGGAACTGGTACCCAGGAGGTGCGTGTGTTGTAAGGAGCAATTTAACTCATTGTAACAAATGCCGGCCTCTCTACTACTCTTAATGCTGCAGTTGTGTGTTGCTGGTGTGATCACATCAGGGAGTGAAGTTACCAAAAAACCCCACAAACTCTATAAAGGTGAGCTTTGAGTAACCTCTCTTCAAGAAGCGAATACCGGATACTGTGACCTGAGTATTCCAGATTCTCAACTTTTGAGGTGCTAAGCATTCAAACAGGAAGCTTTTTATTCCTTTGCTGTCCTGCCCAGCTGACCATGTGGAGAGAACATGGCGACGGGGTGAGGCAGTGCATCTAGGAATCGGTTTAGTGCTGTGCAAATGTTGCCTGACCTATTGAACATGGGGCAGAGTAACTCACCAGAACCACTTCCTCTTACTGACTTCATTGTGGATATCGCCCCGTGTCCTGGGATTCACTGGCTGAGAAGCAGACACACACCCTGACAAGCATTCCCCTTCCAGGTCAATCTGCACAGGTCTCTAAGTGAGGTGTAATCACTGTAAATCTGTTTTTTTTTCTTTTTTTGGCAATTGATTTATATCGTAATTAAGTTTGAGAAGCAGCACGTACAAGGCCAAAGGTGGAAAAGTGACACACATTTTTCAAGGAAAGGTTTTTTTTTTCTTCTTCCCATAAGTCAGAGCATGAGGGAGTATTAGGGAAAAAGGAGGAGCGGGTCACGCTCGCCGACAGGAGACAATGTTCAGTCATCTGGGATTTCTTTTTGAATGTATGTATCCCTGCTGATCAGAAGCAGCACATGGCAAAGGGATCTTACAGCTTATAAAGCAGCATTTCAGCTTTCGTGTTTTTTTTCTTATCAAGTTATCTCCCAAGACATCTTGACTTTTAATAAAGTTTATTAACAAGGCAATGCAGCTATTAGTGCTTTGCAGTGCACTCTTGCCAAGTTCAGAGACATGACTTGCCCTGTGCATACTGCTCATGCCTTCTGAAGGTCTCCAAGAACTCAGATCGCACAGCCACACAGCTGAGTGGTTCTGTTCTGAAGAAAGGAAATTGTTAGTTTGTCTTTTTTTTTTTTTTAAGTGTAATGGTACTAGATTTCTGGTGGGGAGTATTCATAAGAAACATCAGATTGTCAGATTTTAACTGGTGCTTCAAGTATCCTCAGACTTCCCAAAAAGTTACATCTAACTCGGAGACCAAAGCACCTGCGTGCCTTTCTGCTGGGGCTGGAGGAGATGCATACCTTTAAGAAAAGGTGGGGGCAATGTTATTAACATGAAGGTGGGTTATAATCGCATCTGTGACTTGACAAATTTTACAGTAATAGTTTTTAAAAAAGGACAACACATGGCTCAGCCAATACTAGACCCATGAAAATACTTCAGTGCAGTGTTCTGGCAGGCTAGCAGAGTTCCTTGGGAATGGTGATCTTTGTGCTAGATTCTCGGAAGGAAAATTCTGTAGGTAATCATAGATTTTATATTTTTTCTGGCT